GAAGGATGCAAAGTTTTTAATGTAATTGAAGGTATTGATATCATGTTCTTTGATCACTTCTGGGTTTTATAAACTCTTCTCTCCAACATTTTGTCTAGTAATGGGTAGCTTCTCTTTTTTTTTTCTGTGGAAGTCTTTGATCTACTGGGATTTATGTTGATGTCAGGAGTGAAACAGGAGCTCAGCCCGATTTATATTCATTATGCCACATGGTGACAAAGCATCCCAACGTCATGAGTAATCATACACTAATATGTACGCTTTTAGATGCTTTTTAAAATAACGAAAGAAAATCTACTTCCATCCTCTCTAATATATCAGAGATCATCAAGAAGTTCATTTATAAATGTTTTATAAAAACTTTACACGGGTCAGCAGATGCTGTAGAAGGTAAGGCACCTGGATCCCACATGACTGTGCATTTCTAGTCTTGGATATGGCAGCTTAAAGAATATACTGTGTGTGTGTGTGTGTGTGTGTGTGTGTGTGTGCCCAAAATCCTGTCAGGAGAGTGGAGAAGGAATTGCAGCTTAGCCACTCCCCGACCAGAGTGCGTTTTCTCACTCCCCCCCTCTCTCGCAAGTGCATGTGCTCTATACCAACCTAAAGACAATGAAACAAAACACAAACTGTACAGTAATTTAAAAAAAAATTGTACTAAAATAAACATACCTGAATCCCATTTTCCATGAACTTTTTTGAGGTTTTCTCATACTTTTTTGTCTGTTTTTCTTATTTTCTGAATTGTTTCCATTGCACTATGTCCTTGAGGAATTTGCTGGCACGATTGTATCTAAATGCACTGGATAGAAATCAAGTTTCTATCTGTGACCTCTTTTCCTTATTTTCCTGCCAACTGAAAAGGAAAGGGCAAGGGTAAGAGTGTAAAGCTATCCTCATTTCTCTCCACAATGGCAGTTAATTCAATGCAAACTCCCACGTTCATAATACAAAAGCCCTATAGTTTCTTTTGTTTTTATAATAGCTTGTGTGCACATGTACATGTGTACACATGCACATGTGTGCATGCACACATGGTGGTGTGTGTGTATGAGAAAGAGAGGGAGAAAAGGAGAGAGAGTAGACCCCTTCAACAGGGTCTTATTACACTGTGATCCCTTTTCCCCAGCATTCTGGCTCCTCAGGCTCTTGGGTACCTGCAAACAAGCACCCTGTGTGTTCGCAGGACTACCTGAGACTCTGAACCTTCAGTTGGCCCTGTGGCTTCCAGCCTTGCAAGGTGCCTGTATTACCGTTGTGCCACAGAGGTTGGGATTCAAGCTTCTACAGTTTTTGTATGAAGAAAACTTGAGGGACCAGCAGTTGGCGTAATGGCTATATCACTGGACTCCATGTAGTCGACCGCGGTTTGAGTCCTGGACCCAGTGGCTTAAACTCACGCAGGGTACATGTGCGTGCATGCCCAAGATCCCGAGAGGAGAATGGAAGAGAAGGGATTGTGGTGTGGCCATCCCCCCTGGGGGGTGATTTCTCGCTTTCTGTCTCTCTGTCTCTCTCTGTCTTTCTGGCGAGTGCACGTGCCCTATGGCAAAAAAACCTCTCCAAAAAAAAGAAAAAAGAAGAAGAGGAAGAAGAAAGCTTGATAAGTACCTCAGGTATAATGAACTTTTTTGTTATTCACATTTGAAGTTCTAATGAATCAATGAGGTTTTGTAACTCTAATAGCTAATATACTTATGGAGTGCCAGGAACTTTGGTGAAAAGTGTTTGCAGGGATTATTTTTTAAATTTTCTCATCATAGAAGAAACTGAGATATGAAGAGTAACTTGTCTGAATCCATGTAGTTATTAAGTGGTAGAACATGGGTTTGAACTTGGGTAGACCTCAGGAGAGCCTGTATTGTCAAATTCACAGCATGTGCCTCTTCAATTTAAAACAACAGTCATAAATAAAACCCTTGGGACAAGCAGGTCACGTGGTGGTTAATGTGCTGCACTCCCACATGGCCGACGACAGTTTGAATCCCGGACCTGGTGACTAGCTTTCTCACTTTCTCTCTCCCTTTCTCTCTCTCTCTCTGGTGAGCCCTATAGCAAATTAAAATAATAATCAATAACATTAAAATAAATTATTCTTTTTTAAAAAGTAACAGCTCTGCCTGCTCTACTTTTTAAGAATTTCTATTTTTTCACAAGCAAATAGCCCAGTTTGTTGTGTTTTATTTTATATGATGTTTTTGTTTTTGTTTTAATGAGAGAGAAGGAGAAGGACACAGGTATTTTGACAGTCTCGCCGCGTTAAGTGATCCTCCTGCCTCAGCCTTCCAGTCACTCACTGCAGGCGTGCACCATCATGCCTAACCTGTCTTGTTGGTCTGGGAGCTGAATCTGGGCCTCTTAAGTGGCTTCATCCAGTCTCATATGTCAGCACTCTATCACTTGCCCCATGATATCTGGGCAGTATGATGAGTTTTTTTGTTTGTTTGTTTTTAATTTACCTGGTTTTCCAGGAGGCTTTGAGGCTTTTCAAATGTCATGGACTCTTCTTCCTAATTTGCTTCTGAATGTAATTTCTTTTGTAAAATTTATCATATTATGTGTCAATTTCAGTCTTTCCTCTGCTCCTGATAGTTACTACCCTTGAACAGGTGTGTCATTTCTCAGAGCTTTACTTTTCTTATCCATATAATGGGGTAACAATAGTTACCTCTCAGGGAGTCAGGAGGAAGAATCAAAATGATGCCATTAAACTCTATGAAAGTGCCCCAGATATGGTTATTATTATTTTGTTTGAAAGCACATGAAAAACATAAGAAGAAACCTACTTTATTATAAAACATAGTTAAACCATAACATTTGAAAAAAAAAAATGTCAGAGGTCGTGTGCCCTTGCCAGAGAGAGACGGAGGGACAGACGGAGAGAGGGGGAAAATACCTGACAGTGGGGCACAGACATGTCCCAGCCCTTTGTTATTTCTCCATCCTGTCAGGATTGGGGGCACACACTCACATGTGCGTGGTGTGCTTTTCAAGTCACTAGGGTGGGACTCAAACTGCGATCGAACATGTATGATCTGGCTCCCTTAATCACTAGACTACAGTGGGGCAAACCCTAAATGATAACTTTCTAAATTTTTTTTTATTGAGCCAGCAGGTGGCGTAGTGGTTAAAATGCTGGACTCCCATGCTGCCAATTGTGGTTCAAGTCCTGGACTCAGCAGCTTGAAACTCACGCGGGGCACATGTGGGTGCATGCCCAAAATCTGAAAAGGAGAATGTAAGAGAAGGGATTGTAGCATGGCCAACTCCCCCCAACCCGGCCCCCATAAGGAGTGATTTCTTGCTTTCTGCCTCTCTGGCAAGCATGTGTGCCCTATAACAGAAATCTCTTAAAACAAAACAAAACAACCAAACCAAACAAAAAAACACTCATTTACTTCTAATTTTAATTTTTTTAGAGAACAGGTGACTTCCAATATTGAATATTCATCTGCAGCCTTTGTGTGTGTGTGTGTGTGTGTGTGGATATAAGGTAGTGTTTTTTGTTGTTGTTGTTGTTTGTTTTGAGACCTGGACATGTGAATTTATTTATCAGTGGAAGAGTAATGATTGAAGATCCAGGTGCAGATTTTTCACTTCCAAAAGTGAAGTGTCAGAGGCATGAGAGTGATTTGTGTCTTTACAGGTCATTTTTTTTTTTTTGAGTGGATCCATCAGACTTACTTATGCATTAATTAATTCCTTCATGTGTCCAAAGTGTCTACATCCTAGTGCCCAGTGCTCTGCAGAGACCAGTAAGCTGAGTCCCTGCCTATGACCTCAAAGATCCCATCCAATGAAGCCATAGCTCAGATCATTTGTAGGAAAATAAAGCTACTATTTCTCCATAGTTGCAATATACTCCTGGTGTGTTTCTTGAATCTGAAGTAAAGGACTGCTTTTATGTCTATAGAAATGATCAAAAAAGTTGCACGCATTGTAAAATGCTATGAGTGCTTATTCTGATGCCCTCTAAGACAGGAAGAAGCAGCAGTCCATCTTATAGAATAGCGTGACCATATCACGGTCCACAATGTGCCTGTTGTTCTTACTGCTTCTGGAAACTGCTATTTAGGTCACCGATTATTTCTTTGTTGGCAAATTGACTGACTTTTTCTTTCTTCCTTCTCTGGTGCATTTAACTCTTGGAGGCATTCTTTTTTTTTTCTTTTCCTTTTTTTTTTTTAGATAGGAAAATGTTATGAAATAAGAAATAAAAGAGGAAGAAAGAGCAAAAGGAGGAGAAAAACAAGAGAGGCAGGGAGAGGGAGCAGAGTCTTAACTCTCTGTCCACCGCAAGGCCGGTTCTCTTACAGTCCTCCTGTCTCTGTCTTCCCCAAGCCCTTCCCAGCCAATGACTTTTCCCAAGGCTCAACATTTCACCCTCTGCTTGCTTTGTTTACACACAGAACATCACTGTCTTTGTGGTTACACTAACCATGTATATTCCTGTCACTCTCAAATTGTAAAATCTGTCTTTTCTTTCATCTCAACTGCAGTCCCACATCGCTAATACTGTTAGATCTCTTTATTTAAAATAATTATTTATTTAATTTTACTTATTATCATTATTTTTTAAAAATTTGCTACAGGGCATGTGGACTCACCAGAGAAAGTGAGAAAGCAAGCTGCCAGGTCCACTACTCAAACCGTCATCGGCCGTGTGGGCATCCAGAACCTTAACCACCACACCAGTGGTGGCCAGTACTGGCCCTGCTAGTACTGTAGATCTCTTAAACTCAACTCAAACAAACATATTGTTGTTTAGGGGGTCAGGTGGTGATGCAGTGGCAACACAACTGGATTTACATGGGAAAGGTCCTGGGTCTGAGTCCTGGGACCTCCCTCTAGGCATGCCAGGCATGCACACTTGTGGTAAGGGTGGCTGAGACTGGAGGTGGATTGTGGTGTGAAGCACTGATTGAGATGCCTCTCTCTCTTTTGGTCTTGCTTATAAAGTAAATCGGTGAACTTTCAAAAATATGTATTGTTGGTACCATCAGATGGCTTAGGACTCACCATAGGCCCTGAATCATCCTGCCTCCAAATCAAAAACACCTCCTATTGTAATTCTCTCATTTTCATTCCTTGGACATCCTAGGAGACAAGAAGTAATAATTCTCTTGTTTAACTTATAAATATCCTGCTCAAACCTGGATTTTTGTGTTGCTCACTCCCAAGTAGTAGACCACGGTTTGAGTTCTGGATCCAGTGGCTTAAAACTCATGACAGGCGTGTGTGCGTGTATTCCCCCAAATCCCAAAAGGATAATGGAGGGAAAGGGATTGTGGCACGGCCATGCCCCCAGGGGTGATTTTTCATTCTCTGTCTCTCTCTGGCGAGCGCATGCACCCTATAGCAAAAATCTCTCTCTCTCTTTCTCTCTCTCTCTCTGTGTGTGTGTGTGTGTGTGTATGTATGTGTGTGTGTATATATATATATATATATATGTGTGTGTGTGTGTGTGTGTGTGTGCGTGTATGTATGGTTGGGTAGCATTTGAAAAACGGCCAGTCAGCTCACGATATCCAGCAGCTCCTGCATGCTGAGAAGTAGGCGGCTGAGAAGGTGGCAGATGTCAGACTGCAGAAGACCCAAGGTCTGGCATCTGAAACAAGCAAAGGAGGAGGCACAGATGGAGGTGAAGCAATACCGCAGAGAAAGAGAGCAGGAATTCCAGAGCAAGCCTCTGATGGCCATCAAAACCTGTCAGCTGAGGTGGAGCAGGTGACAAGGTGCTAGGTGCATGCCCTGTAGAGCTCCCAGCAGAGAACCTGACAGCATGCCCTGGGTCAGTCTCTCAGCACCATCTGCAATGTCAGGCCTCAGGTCATCCCAACCACTGCATTGCTGCCTAGGACTCACTGCAGGTCCTGAATCATCCTGCCTGTTTCCATCCTCAGAGAAGCTCCCCAAATCAGAAACATCTCCTATTGTAATTCTCTTTTTCATTCCTTGGAAATCCTAGGAGACAGGAAGTAATAATTCTCCTGTGAAAGTTATAAATATCCTGCTCAAACCTGAATCTTTGTTCTTTAGCTCTGAGTTATAAACTCCAAATCATCCTCACCAGACCTGCCTGTGAAATTTGTGATGTGAAGAATTGGGATGTAGGAGATACCCTGACATCAGAGCTTGACAGACTGGGGGCCTTTCCCCAACCCTGCCATTGACTGTTGTGCAATTGGGACAAGCTACTTAACCTGGCAGCCTCAATGTCCTCTGTGAAATCGGAGTAAGACTACCTACCTGGTGGCGCTGCTGCAATGATTGCGAGTCATTCTGTAAAGAGCTTAACATGGTTCCTGACATGCTCAAGAAATGGCAGTCCTGGGATGTTACCATGCCTCTGCTCAACTGCCAAGACCGAAATACAGATATTTTTCTTTTTTTTAGAGAGTTTTTTGCTATAGGGCATGTGTGCTCACCAGAAAGATAAGAGAGAGACAGAAAGACAAAGTGAGAAATCACCCCCAAGGGGGGATGGCCACACCACAATCCTTTCTCCTCCATTCTCCTCTCGGGATTTTGGGCATGCACGCACATGCATCCAGCATGAGTTAAAGCCACCAGGTCCAGGACTCGAACCACGGTGGGCTACATGGGAGTCCAGCGACATAGCCATTACGCTAACTGCTAGTCCCAATACAGATGTTTTTCTACTTCTACCAGTGGCTCTCTAATTCCTCATTTTTCTCTTGAGCCCAGAAGTTCTCTGAAGAATGGTTCTTCCCTCATCCCTTTACCCAGAGACGTACTGATTCCTGAAAAGATGAAATGACTTCACTTAATCCCTCTCCTATGGTTCCAGACAGACACTGCATGTCTCAGCCTCTCTCTATTGTCTCTCTTATGCTGGTCTTTGTCTTTATTGAATTTTCCCCTTTTCTTTTTTCCCCAGAGACCTATCAGGTATTCACTGGTTACTGAACTTCAAAGTGATGCTGTGTTCTTCTGTATACATGATCTTCCTTTTTATAGTCTTGACACCTTACTCTCCCTTTGTAGCAATAAAAACATCAATAAAATAATCAGGGGCAAATAAAAAAAATATATTGTTATTTTAGAAAAATAGAGAATGCTGAAAATCCTAAAGAGATAAATGAAAATTCAGTAGTTTCTCCTTATCTGCAGGAATATGTTCCAAGCTCCTCAGTGGATGCCTGGGACTGTGGGTGGTGAACAGCACAGATGCTATGTTTTCTTCATCTGATAACTCAGAGGGCTGCCAAGTGACAGGCAGGCCGTGTATACAACATATTCAGCATAGGGACACTGGAGGAAGGGTTGATTCAAGTCCTGGATGGGATGGAGCAGGAAATTTCATCACACTCCTTGTAAATTGTTTATTTTAGAAAACGTTCATTTGATATATATTCAGGTGATAATTAACTGAAACTGTGAAAAGCAAAACTACAGATAAGGCAGGACTGCTGTGTAATAATGTTTAAGTGCATAATTTGCTTTAATATTCTCCACAACAAACCAGCAATATTTGTATTACTTGCATGTTTCGATGACCTACTTCTGGTATTGTTTTTTTTTGGGGGGGGGCAGGGAATAGAGATTCTCTGACACTGCATTTTGCCAAGGTCTACTATTCAGATGTTGTTCCTTAGGCTCTCCTAATTCATTTGTTTCACATTCTTTCTTATTTCATAAAAAGACTAAAGCTTTCAGTTATTTATTGCTGAGTGACAACTCAGCCCGATACTTAGTAGTTTAAAACACAATTGTTTGTGCCTCTCCAGTTTGGGCAGGGCTCAGTGAGGATGGTTCATCTCTGTTCTGTCTGGTATCAGATGGGAACTTAGCTGGGGTCAGGCCATCCAGAATGGCCTCTCAGTCTCCAGGGTTTTTCTCAATGTGGATTGCGATGGTTCCGTACTCTTACATGATGTCTGGATCCCTAGAAACAAATTTGGCTAGACACAGTGCACTTCTGTCACATTCTGTTCATCAAAGCAAGTTGTAAGACCAGCCCGGATTCAAGAAAAGGGCATCAAATCGGTTCTACCTCATGATGGGAGGAATGGCATGTATATGGTAGGAGAGAGATTATTGGTGGCTGTTTTGTAGACTATCTACCATAGGTGGCAAATGAAAATTATTCATCTCTGAATTTGTTATTAACTCCTATTACCTCAGATTCCCGATGAAGGGAATTTTTTTTTTTTTGAGAGATTTTTGTTACAGGATATGAGTGCATACCAGAGAGACAAAGAGAGAGAAAGTGAGAAGTAATCTCTAGGGGGGATTGCCACGCTGCAGTCTCTTTTCCTCCATTCTCCCCTTGGGATTTTGGGCACACATGTAAACATGCCCAGCCAGAATTTCAAGCCACCATGTCTTGGACTGGAACCATGGTCAGCCATGTAGGAGGCAACTGCCTTAACCACCATGCCACCTGCTGGTCCTGAGAATATTTTATTTTTATAGCTCAAAAGTTAACTGAGAATAAAATTCTTTGTTTGTTTGTTTGTTTGTTTGTTTTTTGAGAGATTTTTGCTATAAGGCATGTGTGCTCGCCAGAGAGACAGAAAAACAGAAAGTGAGAAATCACCCCCCAGGGGGATTGACCACACTGCAATCCCTTCTCCTCCATTCTCCTCTTAAGATCTTGGGCACACATGCACACACACGTGGCGTGAGTTTTAAGTCACTGGTCCAGGACTCGAACCATGGTTGACTACTTGGGAGTCCAGCAATGTAACCATTACATCATCTGCTGGTCCCCAGAATAAAATTCTAACATAATGAATGGCAAGGTTCATATACAATGCCAAGACCTCCTACCATTTTTACAAAATGTTTACCATATGTGCTATATGTAGTTGATTTTAATTTTATTTTTCAGTTACTAGTAAACTATTGCAAGTGGAGAGTAGAGTGTCCAGAAATAAGTGCAGATCTACACCCTGGGAGTATTCTTGGCCTTCTGAAAGCTGGCTACCATGGAGTCCTGAGATCCAGGGATCCCACTGGCAGCAGAGTTCTCATTTACAGAATTGGTGAGTCATAGATTTTTTTTTTCCTTCTCCTCTCTCTCCCTTTCCCATTTGTTTTCCTCTTCTTCTCCCTCCTCCTCTTCTTCCTCTTCTTCTATTTTCCCTTGACTGTCATCTAGAAATACTCAGAGAGTCAGCCTTTAAAAATTTACATTTGAGGCTGGCAGGTGGCATGGTGGTTAAGACACTGGACTCCCATATGCCTGACTGTATTTCGAGTCCCAGACCTGGTGGCTTGCTTTCTCACCTTCCTGCTCTGTCTTTCTCTGGTCAAAATTTAAAAATAATAATGATGATGATGAATTAAATGAAATTAAATAATTATTTAACAACAAAAAAAAGAATTTACATTTTTATTTGGGTTTTTTTTCTTTTTGAGAGGTTTTTGCTATAGGGTGCGTGTGCTTGCCAGAAAGAGAGAAAGACAGAGAGACAGAAAGCAAGAAATTCACAGGGTGAATGGCCATGCCTTAATCTCTTCTCCTCCATTCTCCTCTCAGGATCTTAGGCATACATGCACATGCGCCCAGGGTGAGTTAAAGCCACCGAGTCTGGGACTCAAACCGCGCTCGACTACATGGGAGTCCAGCGACATAGACATTATGCCAACTACTGGTCCCGGGTTTTTAGGTTTTAACTTAGGTTTTTGGGGGGTTTTTTTGAGAAGTTTTTGCTATAGGGCACATGTGCTCCCCAGAAAGACAGAGAGAGACTGAGAGACAGAAAGTAAGAAATCACCCCCCGGAGGGATAGTCATGCCACTATCCCTTCTCTTCCATTCTCCTCTCGGGGTCTTGGGCACACACGCACACACACCCAGCATGATTATGCCACCGGGTCCGGGACTTCAACCTCAGTCGACTACATGGCAGTCCAGCAACATAGCCATTATGCCAACTACTGGTCCTGGTTTTAACTGAGGTTCAATTTAGGTCTTACTGCCTCTCCTGTCCCATATAATAAAACATTGGCAACTATAAGAAAATTTAATAGCAGGCTAGCTCCATAGTGTAGCAGTTAAGCATTGTGCAGAGGAAGCCCAATCCCATATGGCTGGCTGGGGTTCCAATCCTGGCTTCAGTGGCAAGGTGTCAGGCATGCTCAAGCATGTGCCCAGGATACCTAGGGGAAGGGAAATTGGAGGATGAGGGATTATGGCATGCCTCGGCCCCACTGGGGGCTGCTTTCTCTCTTTCTCTTTCTTTCTCACTCTTATGTGTGCTCACAGGCACTCTATCATGAATAAAGAAAATAAAATCTATTGCCAGAGGGTGAGTGTGTGCATGTATGTGGGGGGGGGGCGGGGAGAGAGAGAGAGAATACCTCCAGTTGGGAATGCCCACTCTGCAATCTTTTTTTCCTGCATTTCTCCATACTCTCAGGATTTGGGGCACACATGCACACATGCCTGGTATGTTTTTTACACCACTGGAGCTGAGATTCAAACTGCATCAGCCCTGTGGGATCCAGCTCCTTACGTGAGGCATTTAGCTGCTGTACCATAGGGTTGGCCTGGAAAAAAATATTTTGAAAAATGAAAAACCAGTGAAAATCCTGCTTCCATTCTTTTACACGGTCAACTGTATGAAGTAAGAGAAAACAATATCTGAAGAAAAATAGTAGGAGAAGGTAAAAAAGTTAAAGGTTTTAGTAGGAAATACAAATAAGAATCCTGAATACAATAATAGAAGGTCCCTGAGATCGTAGATTTTGTCTGCTCTGTTCACTGGTGTATTGCAAGTACTGAAAACAGGGGTAATCATTATTTGTAGAATGAGTGAATGAATGAATGCTGAGTTCAGTAAGGACCTGGACTGAGGAGCAAGGGGCTCACTCTTCCATTGGAGAGGGGCAGGGGGAGTCACCTCTCCTGTGGATTGTTGGAGACTCTGTTCCTTCCATTCACTCATTTTCCTTTTCTTAGCTCCCCCCTCTCACTGCTAGGTGTTCCTAGTGCTTCATATGGGTTGATGTCTTGTCTCAGCAAAATGCCACAGACTTGGGTGGCTTATAAGACAAAATATATTTCTCACTGTTCTGGAGGCTAGGAATTCCAGGAACAAAGCCCTGGCCGGTTTCGTGTCCGGTGAGGGCCTGCTTTGTGGTTCACTGAGGGCTGTCTTTTCATTCTAATCTCACATGGTGGAAGGGGTAGGGGGTCTCATTTAGGCCGCTTTTATAAGAATAGTAATCCCATTCATGAGGGCTCCACCTTCGTGGCCTAATCAGTCCCCAAAGACTCTCCATCCTAATGCCATCAAATTTAGACTTAGGACGTCAGTATGATGGGACCAGCAGTTGGCATAATGGCTATGTCCCTGGACTCCCATGTAGTTGACTGCAGTTCGAGTCCTGGACCTGGGGGCTTAAACTCATGCCGGGCACGTGTGTGTGTTTGTGCCCAAGATCCCGAGAGGAGACTGGAAGAGAAGGGATTGTGGTGTGGCTATCCCCCTTGGGGAGTGATTTCTTGCTTTCTGTCTCTCTCTGTCTTTCTGGTGAGTGCACATACCTTATAGCAAAAACCTCTCTAAAAATAAAAAACATATGTTAATACTGGGGAGACACAAACATTTGCATCATAGTAGTTGCTGATCTATTACTTCTTCCCTTTCTTATACCTGTGTGTGACTCAAACTGGTAGGTAGGGGGGCCAGAAAGTGATATGCCAGTAAAACACTACCTTCTATAAGGCTGACTCACATGGAGAGGTTCTGGGTTCATATCCAGGGACCTCCCTGAGTACACCAGACATATGCATGCCCATATCTGGTCCTGGCTGAGGCTGGGGGTGGGTTGTGGCCTTAGGACCTTATTGGAGATAATTTCTCTGTCTCTGTCTCTCTCTCTCTCTCTCTCTGTCTTATTCATGGAGGAAATAAGTAAATGACCTTTAAAAAAAAATAAGGGCAGGTAAAGGAGAGGTACAGTCACTATTTTAAGCACCCTCTCATGGCCCAGTTGAAAAGACGAGTATAACCAATATTTCATGAGCAGAGTATTATGAATTATCATCTTACAGAACAAACAGAACTTCTATATTTTTAAAGATTCAAAATACTTACATATTTTCATTTCTTGTCTGCTCATTCATAAGATACCTGTCTGTAACTTGACTGCAAGAAGAACCTATATTTAATGAGTAATAAGGTTTCAGAAAATTGAATAGAGTTATTTTCATTTCATTCTTTGTTTCGGTTTATATGTCAAATAAAGCTGGGTTAATTATGCAGTCATTGTCTATAAACCAGACATCATTACGGTATTTTTGCTCACTGATGATTCCGCCAGTGTCCGAGGAGGTTGAATGAGCTCAAGACAATGAAGTTCCTACCCTGAGCTTCTCAGGGGTAGGGTTGCTAGATATAGCATACTACCTATGTGTTGGTTTAACTGCCAGAGAGCATGTGCATTTACCAGAAAAACAGAGAGAGAGAACATTCCCCCCTACACACAGTGAGATGTGACCACACCACAATCTCTTTCCTCCTCTTCTGCATCTCATCATGATTTTGCATGTGTGCACACATGCCCTGCATGTTTTTCAAGCCACCAGGACTGATATTAAAACTGCAATCAGTCATGTGGGATTCAGCTCCCTATACACAGTACTTAACCACTGTGCTAGGGCTAGCGCCCTATGTTTCATTGAGCAAATATATCTGTGTGTTATAAAAGTATAGGGTACTTGGAGCCAAGCAATGGTATAGTGGTTGAGGCGCTAGACTCCCACTTGTCTGACTATGGTTCAAGTCCCAGACCTGGTGGCTTGCTTTCTTGTTTTCTCTTTCTCTTTTTCATTCTGGTGGGTACATGTGCCTATAGCAAATTCAAAACATTTAAAAATGTTTGGGGTACTGGGGCAGCAGGTGGCGTGGTGGTTAAGGTGCTGGACACTCCCACATGGTTGACCATGGGTTGAGTCCTGAACCTGGTGGCTTGCTTTCTCACATTCCTTCTCTCTGTGTGTCTATCTTTCTTTGGTTAAATGAAAATCAATGAATGAATAAATAAAATTAAATAAGTAATTCTTTAAAAAATGTATAGGGTACCTGGTTATACTTGAATTTTAGATAAACAAGTTTTAATTTTTTTATTATGTGTGGGACATACATATGCTAAATAATTTCATCTTGTTTATCTGAAATTAAAGTTTAACTGGGTACTAAGATGGGTACTAATATTTTATTTGGCAACTTTATTTAGGGGTCCCAGGAACATAAAGCTAAAACCTGAAGCTGGTTCATTTTGCAAGTGTCTTGGATCTGCAGTATCTAGTTGGATTTTTTGTTTCTTTTCTATTTTGTTCATAACCTAATGGACAAATGAAAAAGTAAAAATGACACCTTGAGGGGCCAACAGATGGTGTAGTGGTTACATCTCTGGACTTCCACATGGCTGACCCCAGTTCAAGTCCTGGACCTAGTGGCCTAAAACTCATGCTGGGAGTTTGTAATTCCATCTATCAATCAAATCCAGCCTACATCCATGTATACCCACGATCCTGGGAGGAGAATGGAGGAGAAGGGATTACAGTGTGGCCATCTCCCCTGGGGGTGATATCTCACTTTTCCTCTCAATGTCTCTTGTCACTCTCTGGTGAGTGCACGGCCCTATGGTAAAAACCTCAAAAAAAAAAAAAAAAAAAAAAAAAAAAAAAAAGACACCTTGATAGAAAATAAATATGCTACTTTGATAAAAAAAAATATCTGAATATTGAGCAATAGATTATCTAGCATGGACCACTTGGAGTATATTAATTTATAAGTCAACTTTTTTTTATTCTTTTTTTATTTTTTGAATTATTTTATTTAAATTCCTTCCTTTCTTCTTCTTCTTTCTTTCTTTCTTCTTTCTTTCTCTCTTTCTTTCTTTCTCTTTTTCATTCTCTCTTTCTTTTAATTTTGACTAGAGAGAAACAGAGTGAGAGAGAGGGAAAGTGAGAAAGCAAATTGCCAGGTCTAGGACTTGAACCGTGGTTGTCCATGTGGGAGTCCAGCTTAACCACTATGCCACCCACCAGCCCCAGTAAGTCAACTCTTCAACTCAGAGAGATTTTGAAACTAAGAACATGTGTAGTTTCCGGAATGCCCCCTACAGGAAGGTATGCAGTAAATCTTCTGTGTGCTACATTATTCTAGGATGAAAAAGGAGAAACTTAAAAACATTCTAAGAGACTAATGAAAGATAGAATAAAGGGGTATACATTTTCTAAGTTTAATTGAATTAATAGAAGGAGCTAAAGAAGGAAGTCTATGGTAGAGCATTTTAGTATTAACAGAATCTTAGAGTAGCCACCTTCCTAGTCAGTAAAAGCAATGAGAAAATGCAGAGCTTTTCCCTTGATGCTGCAGGGGAACCCAAGGGGAAAGCAACTTGTGGCCTTTGTCGGCCTGCATGCCAGAGGATGTAATGTTATGCCTTTTAAGATCCACCACTATACTATAGCAGTAAAAGTAAAATGTAAGAGTATCAAGTTCTGACCACATTCATGAGTAGTTTCTGTGAATACATATTTGGGGGTGTGTCACTCGGGTTGGAATCTCAGCCCTCCACTGACACTGCTTGGAGCGCTGTGTGGCTTTTAACTGTTTTGTCATCTGTAAAATGGGTAGTGTAAAAACCCAGCATAGGGTTGCTGTGAGTTATGTACATCTGTATAGAATCAAGACTTATGTGGCGCGGTGGTTAAGATGCTTGACTCTCACATGGCTGACTGTGGTTTGAGTCCCGGACCTGATGGCTTGCTTTCTCACTCTCTCACTCTGATTCTCTCTGGTCAAATTGAATGATAATGATAATAATAATAAATTAAATAAATAATTCTTTAAAAATAAAATAGAGAGTTAACAGCCTGTTCTTTTACTAGCCTATACTATCATTTTTCCGTTCTGAAACTTATGCTTCTTTAAATGTCTTTCAATTTTCTTAATTGTTTCCTTGAGCTTTGGTGCCATTGTCTACTGCATTCGACTTTTCTGCTCTGTGTGTGTATTTAATGTTGTAATTATTGATGGATTTATATCTGTTTTAAGATTGCCAGCTTGCTTGTCCACTACTGTCATTTCTGCATGCCTCGGCCTATCCTGGGAGTGCTAGGGTAGGGGTGAGAAGGATGGACAAGAAAGTCGGCAGCTTCTCTCTGAAAACAGCTGCTCTGTTTTCCTCGGTTGTGGGCAGCCACCTGGGTGCTTCCCTGTCTCCTTTCCCTAATCCACACATCTTAGCCTGTAGGGACATGACTCTGCTCTGTGCTGCTTGTCACTGTGGGCTGGCAGAGGATCAGCCTGTCTGTCTGGTTTCAACAACCTCTTTGGTTACTATAGGGCCCTACTTGCTCCTCATAATCCAGGCTCCCACTTTCCCCATTTCCATCACCTCTGAGCTTACCCAGAGGCATCCCAATGGTTAGCCACAGCCCTCTCCTCCCAGCGAGTTTGTGATTCCATCTATCAATCAAATCCAGCCTCCATCCATTCCATTATCCCCCAGACCCTTAAAATGTCTTTGCTAGGGATTTGAAGAAGGAGGGAGAAGCAGGCACATATTCATGGACCTCCATCTGATCTATTCAATTCATAATCTTTATATCTGATCCCTTAAGTCCAAAAGAATTAGTTTCTCTATGGTTCAAGTGTCCCCACTGAAACTTATGCTGAGATCTGACACCCAATGCGGCAGTGTGGGGAGGTGGGAGGTGTTTTGGGATGTGGCGGCTGATTCCTCATGAATAGGTAAACACCCTCTCTGGAGGAAGGGAGTGCTTACTAATTAGTTCCTGAGGGAGGAGGTTATTACAGAGCAAGCCAGACCTGCTTATGCTTCTTTCTCTTTGCATGTGGTTGCTGGCCTTCCTGCTTTTCCACAGTGGGGTAAAGTAGTTAAGTGGCCCTCACCAAGAAATGCTGGTGTCATGCTTTTGGACTTTCTAGCCACCAGAATTGTGAGCTAAATAAACCTCGATAAGTCATCAAGTTTCAGATATTCTATTACAGCAACTCTTTCAAACTAAGATAATTTCCCTTTGTAAATCTGATTCTTTCACCTTCCTGAGATATGATATGCTTTCTTTTTTAGCACACTGGGACCCAAAGGTTTTTACAGTTTATGATGTGTTTCGTGTAAGTCTAATCACATCTGAACTCGTTGTACGGGAGGTAGAAACACAACGGAATGGAGTCAAGGCTGTCTTTGATCTGGAAGGCTGGAAGTTTTCTCATGCTTTTCAAATTAGCCCATCTGTGGCCAAGAAGATTGCTGCTGTACTTACTGTAAGTGTATATCTCAACCGTTAGGTATGGTACTTTCAAAAAATGGTTTCTAATTTTGCTATAGATTAGATGAAGAGAAATGATAGTATATTTGTTAGGAACTCATGTAAAATTGTAGAAATTAATAATACTAACTGGAAGTCAAGTGTTATTATTTTATAAAAGAAAAATGTTGCAACAAACTGTGAAGATATGTTCAAAATTGTAACCCTAGAGTTTATGTATATAGCCAATAATATGATTGGTGACTTTAATTTCTTGTCATTAAAATTTCCTTCCTAAATTAAAAAATTAACTAAAAATATTTATAGCAATGGTATAATATGTCACACAAGGCTAGGTATGTATATGTAAAACATCAAAAAATTATGTATTTAATTTTATTATTTTTTTTTTAATTTGATCAGAGAGAAAGGGAAAGGAAAAAGTAAGTTGTCAGGTCCAGGACTCAAACTGCAGTTGACCATGTGGGAGTCCAGCATTTTAACCACCATCTTACTTGCCAGCCCCCTAAATAAAATTTTTTTAGGAATACGAGATATTTTTAATGACCATCATCTTTGCCCCAGTAATTCCACTTCTGGGAACCTAGGAAGGAATACTTTTAAGTAGGAGAAAGACTTTGAATACAATTCTGATAGCTTATTGTGTGCCAGGTCTCTTGCCAGGAACTTCAAATGTACTACCAACTAATAGCCACACTAATTCTTCAAGGAGCCCTCAAAATTTCATCAAAAATTATGTATGGATTTAGTAATTTTTTTCATTGAGTAAACTACTACTTTAATTTCATTTTCCACAAGGTCTTTTTTATTATTATTAATTTTTGTTGTAGGGCATGTATGCTCACTGGAGAGAGATACAGAAAGAGAGGGAGTGTGAGAAATCACCTCCCCTGAGAGCAGGATATGGCCATGCTGCGTTCCCTTCTCCTCCATTCTCCTCTTGGGATTCTGGATATACTCTCACGTGGGTCAGGGACTCAAACTGCAACGTTGGCTATGTGGGATCCAGCCATCTCTACCACCATGCCACCAGCTGGCCTTCCCGCAAGGTCTTCAAATTACCCTCATATGTCATGTGATTCTATTTGTTTCCTCTCTTACAAATTAATGAACTATACACCACAGAGGTAACAGCCATGCTCTGACACACAGTTCGTCAGCAGCAAAGTAAAAATTCAAGTCCAGGTCATCTGGATATAAAAGTTATGCTTTTTTGTTTTGTTTTGTATGAAAGAGAGAGAGAGAGAGAAAGCATGTGAGGAGAAGGGAGAGAGTGAGAGAGAAGTATCTTTTTAAAAGAGGTATTTAATTTATCATTATTATTTTTTAAATTTGACCAGAGATAGAGAGGGAAAGTGAGACAGCAAACTTCCAGGTCTGGGATTTGAATCATGGTTGACCATGTGGGAGTCCAATGCCTTAACCACCACACTACCTGCTGGTCCTTGTAAAAGTTATGCTTCAACCATAATTGCTCCTGTACACAGGGCTAGTTACTGCAGTGTCACTTTTAATAGAAGAGAATTAGCAGCAGCTCATTTGTCCAGAAATAGGAATGTGGTTACTTCAGTTATAATACACCTAATTGATGGATTATTGCAATGGCATTAAAATTCATGATGTTTACAAAAATGTTATATCAGTGGAATGAAACAGGATGCAAGTTAGAGAACATATTAGTAATAATGCTTAAAATGAAATTATACTTAGAAAGGACCTTGCAGGAATAGCTCCAAGTTGATAGCTTGTCTCTAAAAACTGCATAGATAAAAAAAAGAATATTGGAAAAAAGAACTTTGGAAGGAAAAGTCTCCACACTAAAACACAAATTTGGATAGAGAAACTATTGATAAGATTTTTTCCTTTCAACTCCTCACATTAAAAAAAATTATTTAATTTCGGGACCAGCAGATGGCATAATGGTTATGTCACTGGACTCCCACACGGCTGACTGTGGTTCAAATCCCAGACCTGGTGGCTTGAAACTCACACCAGGCATGTGTGCATGTGTGCTCAAAATCCTGAGAGGAGAATGGGGTCAAGTGATTGGTGCGTGGCTATTCCTCCTGGGGGGTGATTTCTCACTTTCTGTCCCTTTGTCTCTCTCTGTCTTTCAAGCAAGTGCATGTGCTATGTGCTATATAGCAAAAATCTGTATTAAAATATAACAATTTAATTTTATTTATCATTATTATTTTTTCTTTTGTTACAGAGCATGTGTACTCACCACAGAGAGAGAGAGAGAGAGAGAGAAATGAGAAAGTCACCAAGTCTGGGACTCAAACCACAGTTGGCTATGTGGGAGTCCATTACCTTAACCACCATCCCAACTGCTGGCCTCTCAACTCTTTACTTCTAAAATTTAAAAAATAAGCCCTTATTACTTTGATACTAAAAACTTCTACCAATGTTAAAAGTTTAAAAGTATGTGTTTCTTTTATTGGTCTTTCAAATTTCATGAAAGTTTGTTTTTTTCTCAAAATAAAAATTGTGGGGAAGGTGGGTCAGTAGGTGGCATGGTGGTTTAAGGCACTGGACTTCTCCATGGCCAACTAGACTTGGTGGCTTGAAAATCATGCCAGGCGTGTGTGTGTATGTGTGCATGTGTGTGTGTGTGTGTGTGTGTGTGTGTGTGCACGTGTGTGTGTGTGCTCAAAATCCCAGGAAGAGAATGGAAGAGAGCGACTGTGGCATGGGGGGTGATTTCTTACTTTCCCTCTTGCTATCTTTTTCTGTCGGGCCAGCACACATGCCCTGTGGCAAAACTGTAAAAACATTTGTGAGGAAAAAGTTAAATATACATACCAAATTACCATTGGTTCCTTAAAGGAACATTTATATGTGATTGGGGAAGAAATTTTCTGGTGAAAGTATGTAGATATTTCTTAAAATACCTAAGCTACGAGGAGGAACCTTTTCAGAGATCTTTTCTTAGTCTAGTGACAGTGTACTGTAAAGCAGGTTTTTGTGTTGATGTAATGAATAATTCTGAAAATGAACTGATGGTTTACCTGAGTGGTGAGGCAATGTCATGGTGATCTGCCCTACTGGGAGCAACACGGGCAACTGTGGGCTTAGATCCTGACTGACCGGAAACACGCCAGGTGCCTACCATTGGAGGACTGGGGACAGAGATTGTGGACTAGAGTGTGACCAGACCCATCGGGGGTGCATTTCTTTCCCTCGCTCCCTTTCTGTCATGAGAGAAATAAAAACAAAAGAAAAAAAAAAAAAGAAAGAAATCTTAACAATCACACTTTACATACTGCTGTGAGTTTAGCACATGTTCAAAGGAGAGACTTGTCATTAGGTATATAATTGCAGTATTTCTTCATATTTTGTTATTAAGATATTTTTCTCTATTTTCAAAAGGATTCCTTTCCACTGAAAGTTCGTGGCATCCATTTGATCAATGAGCCAGTAATTTTCCATGCTGTCTTTTCCATGATTAAACCATTTCTGACTGAAAAAATTAAGGAACGGGTGAGTAAAACACATTTAAGTCACTGTTCTTCCATACCGGGTATTTCAACCTTTTACATTTAAGGATTACTTTTCATCTTCCCCTAGACCTACCCACCCACACAGTCAGCCCAATGTTTTGCATATTTATGTAATAAGCTGACTGCTTTTATAAATTAAAATTTAGTTTTGATTTAAAAAATCAAGCATATTGATTATGAGGCCCTTGTGGGGAAAAACGTGCCTCTCTTCCATTGCTGGTGGGAGTGCAATATGGTATGTTCCCTACAGAGGGCACTGTGACAGTAGTTATCAAAATCACAGGCTTGACATTTCTGGGAAATGATCTCACACACACACACACACACACACACACACACACATACATCTCTATATAAATAGAATTATATATACAAAAGAATTCATTGCACCAAATATTGGAAGCCACTAAGAGTTCACCATTAGGAAATCGGTTAGATAAATTGTGATACACCCATACAATGCAATGCAACAAGATGAACAGGATGTGTTGTAAAATGAAATAAGCAATATGCATATCAGTGTTTATGGTATGCTGCTTTTTGCATATGAAAGGAAGAAATCTGAGTATATATTTATACTTGCATAAAATTGCATTAAAAGGACATACAAGAAAGTAGTTTAAGTGGTCACCTGTAGGGAACAGAGCAGAGATGTGGACGGTTAGGTGAGCACAGGGCTGAGAGCGAGACAGTGTGTGGAGTATCTTTTATCTTCTGTTATTTTTAACCATGTGAATGGGTTATTTAATGCCCATGAAAAATAAATATTTTTCTTAGTTAAACATGTGTAACTGAAAACCACATACTTGAGGTATGTGATTTAATGTCATTCTTGTTAAAGTGAAGAAATTTAATGCTTTTTACCTATTCTGTAGAACTTTATCACCTAGATAAGGTCCCAAGAGCTGAAAACAGTCTTAGTTCTCAAAAGTGGCCATCACTTTTCATTCTTCTGTAGAGGAGAATTTTTAGTGTTTATTTAGACAAATATTTGCATCATCTAATTAATGCTTTGAACACAGAACGGTTTTTAAAGGCTTTAACAATTTAAATAACAAAATTATTTAAATATAAATAGCAATAATGTTAATTTTAATAGCATATGTGGAATTTAAGAAACTACATTCTTTTTTCTTAAGCATTATGTTTATTAAACTTTATTTATTTATCTAATTGTTTATTTAAATTTGACCAGAGTGAGAGAGAGAGAGAGAGAGAGTGAGAAAACAAGCCACCAGGTCTAGGACTTGAACTGTGGTCAGCCATGTGGGAGTCTAGCACCCTTAATCACTATGCCACCTGCCAGCTCAAAGAAACTACATTCTTTTATATTAAGAGAAAAATGGGGCCAGTTGGTGGCACAGTGGATAAGGCAGCTGGATCCCACATGGTTGACCGTGCGGTTCAAGTCCAGGACCCAGTGACTTAAAAACCATGCTGGGGGAGACCAGCAGATGGCATAGTGGTTGTGTTGCTGGACTTCCACTTGACTAGTTTGAATCCCAGACCCAGTGGTTTGAAACTCACACCAGGTATGTGTGCATGCATGCCCAAAATCCTGAGAGGAGAATAGAGGAAAAGGGGTTGCAGTGTGGCCATCTTCCTGGGGGATGATTTCTCGCTTTCTCTTTGTCTCTGTCTCTCTGGTGAGCACATATGCTCTATAGCAAAAATCTGTCTTAAAAAAGCAAACGAAAATCCGTAAATTATGAATCTGTTTATTGAAAGTGACCATGTTTGGGTACTTTTTATTCTAGTATTTTTATTATTAATTTTATTATTTTGTTTAAAGTTTTGTCATAGGGCGCATATACTCGCTGGAGAAAGAGAGAGAAAGTGTGAAATAACCACTGGGCTGGGGGATGGACAAACTGCACACCCTTTTCTAGTCTCCTCTCAGGATTTTGGGTAAAAATGCACACATACCTGGTGTGATTTTCAAGCCACCAGGTCCAGAACCTGAACTGTGCACTTGGCCTATGGGATCCAGGACCCTAACCTCCATGCCACCTGCTGGCCTTTATGCTGGTATTTTTATAAAAGATGAATTTTTAATTCACTTTTTTGTCTCTTCAGTATAGCTTGATTATAGCTGGCTGCCCTGTTTGATTCTTAGATCTTAATATAAATATTCTTTTTTGGGTTTATTCTGCCCAAACTTAAAAAAGAAGACAAGAATAAATTAAACCTAATAAATAGGAGAATGTAGACAGACAGAAATAAAAAGAAAAAGAAATAATTGACAAGTTAGTTGACATGAAAAAGATTTGCCACAGTAGGAGAAAAGCCAAACATAGTTACCTTTTTCCTTTCAGCTCTTTGGTAGTACCCTCTAAGTCCTTTTATTTTTATTTATTTATTTTTTGGGGAGAGGTTTTCGCTATAGGGCACGTGTGCTCGCCAGACAGACAGAGAGACAGAGAGACAGAAAGCGAGAAATCACCCCCCAGGGGGGATGGTCACGCCACAATCCCTTCTCCTCCATTCTCCTCTCGGGATCTCGGGCACGCACGCACACGTGCCTGGCATGAGTTTTAAGCCACCTGGTCTGGGACGCGAACTGCGGTCGACTACGTGGGAGTCCAGCGACATAGCCATTACGCTAATTGCTGGTCCCTAAGTCCTTTTATTTGACCCTTCTTGAGAAGATAGATTTTTTTCTCAATTAACCAATAACATTTTAAATATTTCAGATAAAAAGCAAGGGTTGAATTCTGAGGTTCCTGAGTATAAGATACTTGTTTCACTGTCGAATCCTCACCTCTAGCACACAGTATATGCTTATTAAATGACTGTTGAATTCGTAGGTGAACAATTTCCCAAGCAATAGGAAAGGTTATTTGTTTATTTTAGCAAGATGTGCTTTTGGTTCAAGTCTCTATGACTTTTTCCCACAGGTATTCTGTGATCAATTTTTTTTTTTTGTACCTATACAGCATATGTACTCACTCATGAGAGACAGAGGAGGAAAAAATGAGAAATCACACCCCCTCCTTCCCCGCCCGGGGATGGCTACTCCTCCATTCTCCTCTCAGGATTTTGGGTACTCAGACACACATCCGGCATGATTTTCAAGCTGCCAGGGCCGGGCCTCAAACCACAAAACTGGCCCTATGGTATGCAGTGCCTTAACCTTCACGCCACTTGCTGGTCCTCTATGATTAATTGCTACAGCTTAAAATATTTGAAAATGTTTAGGTTCTCAACCATTATATTTGTCTTTGAATTCTGTGCTACCCAGAGTATCCCTGAGTGTATAACATAAATTATTCCTTTTCTGGGACCAGTAGTTAGCATAATGGCTATGTCACTGGACTCCCATCTAGTCGACCGCGGTTTGAGTCCCGGACTTGGTGGCTTAAAACTAATGACGAGTGCGTGTGCGTGCATGTCCAATCCGAGAGGAGAATGGAGGAGAAGGATTTGTGGCATGATTTCTCGCTTTCTGTCTCTCTATCTCTCTCTGTCTTCCTGGCGAGGACACCTATAGCAAAAACCTCTCAAAAAAAAAAAAAAAAAAAAAAAAGATTCCTTATCTTCTTGCTTGTGCACTCGGATATATACATTTATTTAATATGAATTAATTCCAGGTCGTATATTTTTATAAGCTTAGAATAGTCTTGGGGTAGTAAATATTTTGGTAAGAGTCACCTGTGTATCAGGAAATAGAATTTATAAAGTAATTTCATTTAGTGTTTTAAAAATCTACTTTTGAAAAAAGAAAAGAATATCTTTACAAATCTTATGCAGTTATAAAAATCCAAATATAATAAAATAAGATTATTAGATTCACAGGGGCACAATCTAAACATAATTGAAATCCTTAGATTCATAAGCAGGAGGAAAAAGGATGTACATAACTATACATATGTAAAGGTAAGTTTGTATGCACACATATACACGTATACATACTTTCCTAGCTTGGAAGTTATTAGAGTACCTTGTCTTACAAAGTTGATTTTCCATTTGAAATGCATGTATTATAGAGAAAGGTGAAATGTTTTGGCTCTTTCAGATTCACTTGCATGGAACCAATTATAAGCAAAGCTTACATCAGCATTTCCCAGACATTCTTCCTCTGGAATATGGTGGTGAAGAATTCTCCATGGAGGAAATTTGTCAGGAGTGGACAAATTTTATAATGAAGTCTGAAGATTACCTCAGCAGCATTTCTGAGAACATTCAATGAGAAGAAGTTATTTCATGTGAATGATTTCCTAGTTACAAAACCATGAGTGAGATCCTACCTTTGTTACATGAATGAAAGAAAAAAGAGCAAATCTTTTAAACTAATTAATGCTTGTTTGATCTTTAAAAAGGTAAAATATTCTGACGTGGGCAAAAAAAGTGTGGTAGGGAAGGCTTTTTACTTTGAAATGCATCTTTTTTTTTTTTACTTTAATGTAATTAAATGTTAGTATGCTTTAAAAGCATAGAGAAGGTTCCTGATTTTTGCACTTGAAGAGATAAAATAGTTATTTCTAAAGTAGTTGTTCATGCATTTCTTCATATGTTTCTGGAAAGCTTAACAAGTTCTCTGATTATATCAATTTAATAATAAATTAATAAATAGTTCACAAATAAGAAATATTAGCACAAATCAACTGCTAATAAATAACCTTAAACACTCATTTTGGGTGGGTGTCAGATTATAATTCAGATTAAAATCTGAATATAGCTTTACAGTTATTTCTGTAGGCCAGCAAGATAGCTGAGCTCAGGGAATTTCTATTTTAGCACACTTACACAACAGAAACTTTTAACTGAAGAGTCTATATACCATACTATGTTGTATGCTGCATCCTTAGGTCTCTGTGAAATTACTTACATTGTTATAATTGAGTAACAAAAGTAACTTAGAAAATATTTCAGACATGGGAACCAGCAGTTAGCGTAATGGCTATGTCGCTGGACTCGCACGTAGTTGACCGTGGTTCGCGTCCCGGACCCGGTGGCTTAGAACTCACGCCGGGCGCGTTTGCATGCGTGCCCAAGATCCCGAGAGGAGAATGGAGGAGAAGGGATTGTGGCGTGACCATCCCCCCTGGGGGGTGATTTCTCGCTTTCTGTCTCTATGTCTCTCTCTGTCTGTCTGGCGAGCGCACGCGCCCTATAGCGAAAATCTCTCCAAAAAAAAAAAAAATTTTCAGACGCAATTGATGACTTTTCAATACTGATTAGTATTTTTATAAAAGTCAAGAATGTAATTTTCACTTCAGTTCATGGTATTTTTATCATAACCACATGAAAAATTATTAGTTGAAAAATGACTATGGAAAGAAAAGGAAATGTTTACATTTTTTAATCACTGGAAATTATACCTGATATTTTTCATATTATGCATAAAATAGTTTGGGTTTCACTATTAAATCAGAATATTCTATCTAGATCCCACAATTCATATTTACTTAAAAGAGAGCAGTAGTTAAAATGTGCCTTTTGTACTGTAGCTTATGTAAAAGAATATTTCATTTATTGAGAAAGATATAATCTCAGACTTTGTATTCAATATAGCTTTTAATTTATGCCATAATTTTTATACTTAACATTTCATAATTTGTTTACTTTAAACTTGAAAATAAAGAATATAGGAGGCAAAACTTGTTGAACATTTTTTAGCTAGTTGAGTTTCCACATTAATCATATAATAGTATCTTTGTGCAAGGATATGTGAAGGGCGTTTTTCTTTATAAGAAAATTAGTCCAATCAAGTGAGCTGAAATTTATGATTCTCTGTAGCTGTATCTATAATAAAATTGAGAGTAATTGTGGATGTTCTTTAGAGAACGTGTTTGATTTTGATTTAGCATTGGGAAGCTAACTTTACATTATTATTTTTATTAAAAAGTTACATGTTTCCTGTTTTCTAAAAACAACTTTAAAGTTGTTTATAATATCATACAAATTAAAGTTGTATAAGTTGTATAATTGATAATGTAGAACTGTTTAAAAAGAATAAACCCAGGGATCAGCAGATGATGTAATGGTTATGTTGCTGGACTCCCCCATAGATGATGCAGTTCAAGTCCTGGACCCAGCAGCTTGAAACTCACGCTGGTTGCATGTGCGTGCATGCCCAAAATCCTAAGAGGAGACTGGAGGAAAAGGGATTGTGGTATGGCCATCCTCCCGGGGGTGGTGAGGTGGTGGTGATTTCTCACTTTCCATCTCTCTGTCTGGTGAGTGCACATGCTCTCTAGCAAAAAACAAACCACTCTCTCTCATAAACAAAAAAAAAAAAAAAAAAAGAAAGAAAAAAGGAAAAAAATAATAAATAGAAACAGCAACAACAAAAAAAAACTCTGGCATGGCCTAGTCATGTAGTTGGTGCTGTTGGTGCTGGTTGAAGCTGCTACTCAGAAGTCTGAGGTCACATGAGAGGCCAGATTCCTTCCATTCCGGGCCCATTCTACAAGCCAGGCATGGTGGTGCTGAGTGCCTGAGGTCTCAGCTGCTTGGGAGGCTGAGGCAGGAGGAATGCAGCATGCTGAGATGGGGGGTGGGCAGTAAACCTCTGACTGATCCCACTTTTATTCTTTTATTTCTAGAGGATTTATATCTCAAGTTCTGCTTCATTTACATTTCACTACTTACAATACTTTCTTATGACTAAGAGGGAATTATTACCTTAGTACATGAATAAAGAATAGCATTTTTTAAGAGTTTTTTTTTTTTTTTTTGCTGTAGGGCATGTGCACTCAGAAGAGAGACAGACAGCAAGAAATCACCCTTTACAGGGAATGATCACACCACAGTCCCTTCACCCCCTTTGTCCTCTTGGAATTTTGGGCATGGGCATACACGTGCTCTGTGTGTTTTAAGCCCCCAGGTCTGGGACGCGAACTGCAGTTGGCCATATGACAGTCCAGTGCCTCAACCGTTATGTAAACTGCTGGCCCCAAGGATAGCATTTTAAAATGTCTTTTAAATGTGATTCATCAGTGATATGAAGAACAGTAAATTAAAGTAAGTCAATCAATATAGGTACTTTTATGATGGGACTTAAAAATATTTATAAAATGAAACAATTCTCTGGAGAACATTAAAAGAACAATGTGAAATGAGTAGACAGTTTTATAAAGTGCCGAGGTTAACTATGCAACTATCTATATTTTCTGTGATGGTGCCAGAAGTCCCTTTTAAGAGCTTAACTATTATTTGCTCATGGTGTTATAGAACTACACAATAATTTATTTGTTTTAATATAGTTCAAAAGAAAATAAATGTCTTGCACAAAATTCATAGTATGTGGTTCTTTTTTTCATTTTCAAATGTGAATATTAGGCATTCTTTTTTTTTTTTTTTGGAGAGGTTTTTGCTATAGGGCACATGCACTCCCCAGACAGAGAGAGAGAGAGACAGAGAGACAGAAAGTGAGAAATCACCCCGCAGGGGAGATGGCCACACCGCAATCCCTTCTCCTCCATTCTCCTCCCGGGATCTTGGGCACACACACACACGCACCCGGCTTGAGTTTTAAGCCACCGGGTCCGGGACTCGAACCGTGGTTGACTACATGGGAGTCCAGCGGCATAGCCATTACACTAACTGCTGGTCCCAATATTAGGCATTCTTTATCAAAAATTGCATTTCCTTACAGAAAATAAGAAAAAATATACCACCTCTAGTTGCTCATTACACACAAATATCAATTTTTTTATTTTATAAGTTTTAAAGCCTCATTTTCCCTGCTGCTTAGTTCAACACCATCTTCCTCCAGCTTCATTGCTGGACATGAAGGTACCATAAACTAATTTTTGTAAAGTTACTCAACGCATACTTAAAAAGTTAAGGTTCAGGCCAGCAGGTGGCATAGTGATTGTGGTGCTGTACTCCCACAGCGCCGACTATGTGGTTTGAGTCCCAGACCTGGTGGCTTAAAAGTCACACTGGTCACCAATACATGCATCCCCAAAATCCCCAGAAGAGAATGCAGGAGAAGGGATAGTGGCATGGCAATCCCCCTTAGGGAGCACTTTCCCACTTTCTCTCTCTCTGTCTCCCCGGCTTTGTGTCTCTGGAAAGCACATACATCCTATAGCAAAAATCTCTCTATAAAAAAGAGAAGTTAAAGGTTCTACGCAAAACAAAACAAAACAAACCTTGCAGTGTGCTATTGAATCAGATAATTTCATTTTCTTTAATAAATTTTATTTTTAGAGCAGTGCTTAGGTTCACAGCAAAAATCAATACAAGATACATGATTCAAAATTTAATTTTGAAACAATCTGTTATTAACCTAGATCATGATTTGATTTGTCAAACTACACTTTTCTTACAGAAGTAGCCTGAAGTTCTATTGTAAATATTATTTGCGTAACTAGTAAAGTTAAGATCAAAATTAGATCATAGCATAGGTGAAATATGTGACCAAACAAAATACCCAGCCAACTAGTACAATGGTGTGTGAAACATTCCTTACCAATCTTCTTTAAAAAAAGAATTATTTGGGACCAGCAGTTAGTGTAATGGCTATGTCGCTGGACTCCCCTGTAGTCGTCCGCGCTTTGCGTCCTGGACCCAGTGGCTTAAAACTCATGCCGGGCGTGTGTGTGTGCCCAAGATCCCTAGAGGAGAATGGAGGAGAAGGGATTGCGGCGTGATCACCCCTCCTGGGAGGTGATTTCTCGCTTTCTGTCTATCTCTCTCTGTCTGGCGAGCGCACATGCCCTATATCAAAAAACTTCTCCAAAAAGAAAAAAAAAGAATTATTTATTTTATTTTATTTATTTATTTATTCGTTTTAATTTGACCAGAGAGAGAAGAAGAAAGTGAGAAAGCAAGCCACTAAGTCCAGGACTTGAACGCTCATCAGTCCTGTAGGAATATCCAGCACCTTAACCACCATGCCACCTGCTGGTCCCGTATGTTGAATTTTGCCAGATTTAGATGATCTTGTGGATCATCTAACTCATCTAACTGTGAGTTACAAAGAGGAAGCTCTACATAGGCAATAAAATGAAGACTGGCAATGGTACAGTCCCACCATTTTGGGGTTAGCAAGGACATAGACCATCCTCCTCCTACCTCTATACCTGGCACTCGCCTGACTGCTCTCCTGTCCTTTATCCAAGTCAATCACATTAATCTACTAAATATCTACCTTTGGTAACACTGTACATTAAATGAAGTACAATAATGAATGGGAAAATTAACTAGATAGGACCTAGGAAAAAGAAAAAAATAAATATCCCAAATAGCCAGATATCATAGAGCATATTTTAAGGGCAATTTGAGTCATTCCCATAAAGTGATTTGGGACTTTAACAGAAGGAGAGATAATTTCCACCTGGAGTAACTGATGCTGGGCTCTTAGAGGAGGTACTGTTGGAAGAAGAGGTTTTAGAGAGAATTCACTCCTAGCAATGGAAACTGAGGAGAGGAAGAACCTTCCTTGAGAGGATATAGCGTGAGTAGACTTAAAGATGAGAAATAAGGGACCAGCAGATGGCGTAATGGTTATGTAGCTGGATTCCCACGTAATCA